AAAAAATAAAAGGTAGAAAATTCTATAACCACAGTACAACATAGAAAAATGAAGTATTAATACTCTATTAAAAAATATAAACTATTAAATTATTGACCCAGTCTCATGGTTTTGTAGTCTAATCACTGACGTAATTCGGAGAGGAAAACCGCAAACTCAAAAGGAAAAAAGGGGCAACTCTTTGGGAAATTTTAGTATTCTTATTAAAAATAAAAAAGAAATCAAACATAGGATTAGTATAACAATTTTTTTCACCAGGCATCTGATGCATGCTTCAGGTGTAGGAGACTATGATACAGGCCGGGAGCTTTTTTATCCTAGCTTCAGCCGTAATACATTGCAGCACAGAAGACCATGATTTTGGGTGCGGTGTATATCCATCCGGAAAACTAATCCAAGGCTCGGCAATGTCACTTTCACCCAAAGGCATAAGACTACAAAACTGATTTTCTGGAGCTTTAGCTAGGACTAGGCGATTCTTTAGACTTCTCTGCCACTACATCATTCTCCGAGTTTAGAGATTTCTCACCGACGGAATCCTTATCTGAGTTGAGAGATTTCTCTGGCATGGCATCCTTATCTGAGTGGACAGATTTATCTGGCGTGGCATCCTTCTCTGAGTTGAAAGATTTCTCCGCAATTTCATCTTTCTCTGAGTTGCTTGCATCTCCGGTTTGAGCCTGACTACCTTGTGCCAGGCTAGAAGTCTGAGAATCTGGGGCCAGCCCCAAAACTACCAATACTGACCTAGAAATGACATTCAAAATGCAAGATGGAAGTCATGCCAAGAAAAATCCTGTTTTACCAAATCATGATCTGTCACTAGTGTACCTTGGAAGCATTGACCGGATATTTGGTTGGCTAGCGTGAGCAGCCAAAGCAGATTTAAGTCCCGGAGTTCTATTCAATGCAGTCTCAAGTTGTAGGGGAGGTAGCTGAACGATAAAAATCATGTAGTCAGAAACAGAAACAGCAAGTTCTAACTCTAACGGCAAACTTTGACATTCTAGGCAATAAAAAAAAAGGGGTTAATTGAGCCCCCTTCTTTTTTTTACCGGCACATAGTTAATTGAGCCCTTTTCTTCTTCTTCTTCTTCTTTTTTTAACTGGCACTTAGTTATTTGAGCTAATAAATGAAAATTTGCAAAATAAAATTTAAAGTTGAGCCTTATCCAAAAAATAAAAGAAATTCAAGTAGAGCCACACCGACTTTCTTTGTCAATATACCTGCACTGTTACTTGACAGTTCCGTGATGGATTTTCACGTTTTAGAAGAGGAAAATGAAGGCTATTTATATTTTATTTTGGGTTTGCAGTAGAATACTAGAGAAACAACAAAGAAGGAAATACTAACAAACAAATGTTGACTGATACCAGTATCCTAATAAGGGTGCCCAGTATGAGAGGGGTAGAGCTTTGATGCAGAAGAGTTGCTACAACAACATCAAGATGAAAAACCAGTATGTAAAAAAGCGGCCAACATAAATACCACACACCTGAAGCAACACGCTGAATGACTGAGGCTTTGTCAATTGTGCACATTTCAAGAATCCCACCCACAATTTTGGGTATTTCCATATCTGCAACAGTCATAAGATTTAATGATACTACAGGCATCAACCATCAGGGGTAGCTTAATGTGATGAAGTATTTACCTGCTTGCTTACAAGACGAGAAAGTATCTCCATTATAAATTCAACCTACAACATTTCAGGTCATCAAGTCAACAATAACACATCAACATCACAGCTGAACATATAACTTCATTGAACGGGTCTTCCTTTTTCTATCGCTAAACAAGATAAAGCATAAGTGCAAAACATAACAGAACAGTCCAATAGGATTCAAATGATGAAGAGATTTGTATACAAGCAAGAAGTTTGCCCACAATGACATACAATTACAAAGTTTGAGTCTTTTATCATACAAGCATACATAAGACTATGTTACTAAGAGCATACATCTGTTCTTATGAGAAAGCAGCATCGTCTTGCAGAATTCTTAGCATTAGAAGATGTATTGCATGCTCTAATGATCAAGTGGCATATGCCAACATAGGGAACCATTGTATAGCACGTAGAAGACAGAACTATGATTATAAATCGAAAAGTTGCTATATTTTTCAGCAGTCATTAACAAAAAGACATATATATGAACTCTTCAATTTAAAAGGTAGAATCCATGGTTACTTTACCAATGCTGGAAATGCACCAATGGCTTGTAATACAGTCCGCATGAAGAGCAAAGGAAGAGGAATCTGCTCAACCTATAGGAAAAGCAGAGAACTGTCAGAATCTGCAGACTATTCTCTAATGAAAAAATAGTGAATTCAGCTAGGGAAAATTAAAGATTTTGGAAATAAGAAGGTATATGAGTGGTATGGAACAGACCAGTTGGTTCAAGACCTTTGCTAGAACCTGTTGGGTGAATATCTCCCGCTGCTCAAAACATGCATTACATGCATCTGTGATCTAATGACAGAATAACAATTCTAAGTCATGTGCTTCTAAATGATGGTAAGGTTTCAAAACCTAAAGGAAAAGACAGAAGCAGACTACCTTCTTCAATGGAATTCTATCTCTGTCAGGATCAATACCATGAATGGCTATTAACACTTCAGCAGGAGAGAGTACTTGGTCAGAATGAGATGACCCCTGCATATACAGTTTGATTAATTATAATACAGAACATTCAGCTAAACTTAGAGCAGATTATTTTCTTGACATCAAACAACAGTTCCTAAAATACAATGTCACCAACTATTGGTTACATTTTACCAGAAACTGATCATTAGTAAAATATATTCTGCTGGGTAAACTTTTAATAGAGAGAAACAAGGAAACAAAGATGCCAGGCAGCATAAAGTGTGTATGCAATTATCCCTGGAAAGTTCAGCTAGAAAACATTTACAAAGGATTAACATTAATCTTTGGGTGAGTGCAGGGGAGAAAAGAGATACCTGTAATACACGAGTAAGTGCAGCTTGAAACTTATCTGGTGGAAGATTAACAATATGAGGAAAAAGCAGCAAAACCTAACCAAACAATTAGTTAAAATGATATCCACATGAGACAGATAATGCTAATTAAATATATATTAAAAAAAAAGGTTAAAAATATAAATTTAATAGAATGCAATTTAAAAGAAAATTTCTGAACAGGTATAAGGACAAACAAAATAAAATGAGATTAAATATATGTAGAAGATGATATGAGATAACTCAGAAAAAAAGAATCAAGAAAAACAAACCTCATCTCTGGGAAGAAATGGCAACACAGGAACTAGAATTTCTATATCCTGTATCCATAAAAACCAAACATATATTGGTCAATATCCTCACTTCTTTCCAGTTCTCATTTAAACTATTTACTGTTACCTTCAATTTTGCATCAAACAACTTCTTAATGGCAAATATCAATTCTTTGGAAGGAATAGTTCCTTCCGTCAGTGTATGCAAAACCTGGCATAATGAGAAAAGGAAGAGAAAATTAGTTACAGTAATTTTTAATTTTGGCTTGGTTTCAAGAAAATTGTATCATCAATTCAAATAAGAGCAGAACCTGCATGAGGAGGTTCTCACTTCCACTTGGAGGGTCTGAAATAATCTCAAGAAGCTCAGATGATGAGCCCATAGTACGAACTAGAATGGGGACATGACGGTGGACTGCCTGCATTGTAGAACCAATAATTAGAAAAAGCTCACAAGGAGAATGAGGGACTTTTGAGAATATCTGACATAAAATGACATGAATTTACCATACCTGCTTAACTGCCTGCGGTGCACTTTTATAGACAACAAATATTTGGCGGAAGAGAGAGTGCTTCTGTCAATTATTTACAACAAAATATTAATTTCTCTAAAGGATACTTAAAATATAAATTGTCAAGCCAAAACCCAGGATAAAGGAATCAAAACATATACAAATAGCACCTTTGTGCACAGGGCAAAATACAGTGACATGCACCTCTGTGCCTCAGGGACTGAAAGAGATGACATGCTCTGAGATGTGCATGATTCGTGAATGACAGTGGATGTATCTTTGGTGGTGGCACTAGCTGACTGATGCTCATCTGATTGTCTTTCTAAACAAGGATCCTGCTAAAAGTGCAAACGAGAACCAAATAAATCCAACACCAAGTTACAACACCATACCTATGACAAGTTCAGACATAACTATAAGGTTCTGCTCCACAGATGTCAATCTGTCCAATTATTTTCAATCACTGCGGTGTCAAGTAACTAAGGTACTGTTTTCCCATTTCCCTAAAGATTCCATTAATGGACTTCTAATTCATCAAGACTTGTGAGGATACTTGCATGTATGTATTGAACCTTTCCCTATCTTATTTATGACAATTGGCAAGCATTTATATTAAAGTATGCTAGATTTTGGCAACCATAGACCAAGTGTCAGTGAGGAAAAGCTATACATTTCTCCTGAGGCCTTAGAAATTAAAATCCAAAGAGATTTGAATTTTTAACAGATAAAAACATGACTAAAGGCTGTTTTTAATTTAAGGGATGAAATATTTAGAGATGAAACATCATAGAAGAGTAATGATCAACAGGACCAGTGACAGATAGCAAAAACACTTGATAAGAAAGCCTCATCACTCAATATAGGGCAAAGCCTTTACAACCACCTCATGCACTAGTGTTTGTGTCTTGAAAATTGCAATTTATGCAATTTTGTCTGGAACAGTTGAGCAATTTTGTTGGCCATTTCAGACAATCTAGCACTGTTCCAAATAAAATCATACCTTCAGTGACTCCATGGTTGGTCCCTCAGCATCTGTTATTTCTGTAGAATCACCAGTTGCCACAGAGAGCAACATTTCCTTTGCAAAATCTTCAATTTGTTTGGCAATGGATGATAAAGGGTAAAGTTTGTTTGCTACCTATAAAACCAGAAACACCCACAATGGTAAAGAAAGATTACAGAAAGGAGCAACTTATTGCTACAAGTAGTTCTGAAAAAATACCAGACGTATTGCCTTCATTCGGACTTCCTCAAGGTGATGAACTGCACTCTTTCAGAGGAAAAAGAAGATATTAGTGACAAAAAAGAGAGAGAAAGAAAAGTTTTTCAGTTACATATAATCCAAGATAAATCTTGCGCTTGTAATCACAAAAGGCTGGACTACTTATGTGGCTAAAGATCAACAAATTCAAAACTATTGCTCAATGTGAGGATTCATAACCCCATATTCAACAAATCAAAATAATGGCCCTTTTAACCCAGCCAAAGGGAACAGTCTATATCGGGAATAATATCTCCCTGGGAATCAAAGCTATACTCCATCACCCCAAATCTGCTATTCAAGTAGGTTGAATAGATAATAGAACTTAAAATTGTGCAAGGATAAGGATAACTTTCAATAGCACAAGATTGCCATTGTCATTGTTGAAAATTTCAGTTAGCGTAAGGAATATATTTATAAACCGAATAGCAAGCAGATATTACCACAATTCAAACTTAGTTGATAGTACATAGAAGCAACCTGCAAAGCAATTTTCAAGCAGACATCTCGAATGGGAGGCCTCAGCAGAATCAAGCTCCATATAGTGCTGAGACCTTGAGTAACTCGATCTCCACTTTGTAACTCCTCAGCTTTATCTGAGGTTTCAGGAGAACACAGGCACTCTAACAGATTCAAAACTGATTTTGGCAGGTATGGAGCTTCACTGAGCAATTTACTTAAAGATTTGTCTGAAGGAGGAAAAGAATCCCTGAGAGTTTCAGCCTGAATTTAAACCATTCCCAATCAGACAGTTTGCCATATCAAATGAAAAGGAAAGAAAAAAGATCCAGGAAGATAAATGCTTACCACTGTCAGAAAGAATGTTTCATAAGCAGAGGCAGCATTTGTACAAGATAAGAAATCTTGTTCCTCTTCTGCCTCACCAAATAACCTGTAGAGCACACGCAATGTCAACTCATGTCCCTGAAACCATCCAGTAATATTGTCAGCCACCATGGATATATTATCTGATGAATTCAATAATCAGCCACGTATAACTGGATATATAGTAGCAGACTATGTATTGATGTGATATTGATTGTGGTGTAGCTGTGAAAGCACTTGCACTATTTGCATCTTTTTAAATAACAGAAACAAAGACAGCTCTATCCCAAATAAATATATTGAAAAATATGAGTTAATGAGATAAAGGGAGAGCCAGAGAAGAAAATTTCATTTCTGCAATCAGATTCAGCTCAAACCATAGCAGTTAACATCTAGTCAACAAGCCATGACCAATGAGGTATTGAGGTATTTGAAAAGGAAGAAAAATTAGAATATCCAGTTACCTCATGATTCACATAATCTGACAAGATGTGTTCACTTAGCAGTTTCCATGGGTCTAAATCCGAGGGCAGCTGCTAAAACAAATGCACAGACATGTTAATAAAGAATGTTAAAATCCTTTCAGTAGCAACTTGCCTAGGCAACAGGAGGGCATGCATAAGTTATACAATCTGCAGATGGCTACGTAAAAACAGAAATATAATAGCAGCATGATTACATCAAAAACTAAGATATATGTAAAGCCTTGCATTCATCAAAAGCTACTAAAAATATGATAAATGAATTAGAGCCAGAAATTATTGGCAGCTGTAGGAAAAGTATTCTAGAATGAACACAAAAGGAGTACAAATGACTTGACAGATTGTGTAGATACTATGTAAATAGAGCAAATACAAAAATTACACTAGATGAAACAGAAAAAATACTATGACCCATCTTATACCTCAAAAGTTTATTCAATGAGATCATGTCATAAAAACCATTCAGTACACAAAGTCCTGAACAAATTGATAAGATCAGGAGTCAAGAATAAAGATAAATTAAAACAATTAGTTCTAAAAATAAAATAGGATTAAATATGTAGAGTTAATGAGCATAAGGCTGCTGTTAGTGAGGCATTTCTATGCAGATAAATGCATCAGTGCAATTCCTGAATTCCAAGAATTCAGAAAACTGATGAAATATGTAGACTGATGCTGATCAAAATATATGTATTACACACACACACACACACACACTCACACACATAGAATCCAGAACCAATATCCACAGAGCATTCAACAACTATTGACCAACCAAAACAAGCTATTGCATAAACAAATGCATCACAACTATTAGAAGCCAGAATTAGTACCTCCACTCCTAAATAAGGAAGAAGAAAAAAGCGAGCTTGTGACCCTCCAGCTACTGTTATTTGTTTATATGCCTCAATGATGCGTATAAAAGCCAATTTTTGCAAATCATCCTTCTCTTCTTCAGAAAGATTGACAATTGGTGCTGTCATCTTGGGCAAGACAAAAGTACTAGACAAACCCACAGAAGTTGCCGTTGAGGAAACCAGGCTGCTGGAATCCATAAAGGATGCTTTTGGACTAAGCTCCTCAGACCTATCTGTTGACATTGATGGAAGCACATGCATGGGTGATCTGCCACTGAAACTTGTAACTTGCTCTTGACTGGCATCTTCTAAATCAGTAGAGGCCAGTGAGGAAGCAGCCTGGGTATCTGATAATCCATCATTACGTACAGAAGAATCCAGACCAGGTATCTCCATCTCACTCTCCAGATTACCAATCTCATGGACACCAGATTCAGTAGCTAGATCAACCTTCTCATCTCCAGGCAAAACAATGTCAGAAGACTCTGGTAAATAAGTTGGTGACATTTCATTTTTGGATCCATGAATTATGTCAGACGGTATATCAGTGACAGGCACAACATCAAATTCTTCCTCTCCCATCTTCTGCATCTTCAGTACAATAGATATATTAATATAACAACAATAAGCACAAAAAATTCAGCACTGGATAAATAGGAAAAACAAATTACATTGGTGAGTCCAAAATATCATGTAGTCCTCAAAATCCCTCTAAAACCTATTGCTAACTACTGACCTGTTTGGAACTTTATTGAAAACAAATAAGTGAAACCATGCACTCTAGTTTTGAGGCTGAGTTTTGCAGCTGGCATTTCCTGAGGACAACTTACCACTATATCATTGGATGCTGACTGATTAGAATCAAGCAATGAGGCTATTGGTGGGAAAGTACTCGAAAGTGAAAGAACATCAGCCAAAAATGATGGTGGATACTTGGCTTGAGTGCTGCTGCCAACTATGCTCATGTTCAGCAGCGATTCATCATCTCCATCATTATGAGGACGTTTGGGAGGAAGGTTGCACATGTTAAAAATCACAACCTCCGCTAGCAAGTCAGCAGATATACTTGAAATAAGAATTTCCAAAGGTGCGACAGCCTTTTCACCTTGAGCAACCAAGACACCAAACATGGCAACAAGTTGCTGGACAGGCCCAGAATGAGCATCCCCTCTATTAGTAGTTGGTTGACTAGAAGATTTGCCATCCTGAGACACACTAAGATTGCTACTTAAGTCTTTTATTGGCTCTTCGGAGAAACCAGGCGTTGATTTGACACGTTTTCCAGACACTTCATTATTTCTGGCTATGTCGGTGCTGTCCTCAGTTCCAGACCTCTTCCTACCCAGGTTGCCAGGCACAATATCCAATGCTTTAACCAAGGATTTATCATCCTGCAAGTTTTTGAAGCCATCAAAAAGAAGATCCATGACATGCATATATTTACTTGTGCTTGTATAAGCAAGCAGACAGCAACACATATCCATTGCAAATAAATCTAAGAATATGAACTACATGAGAAAAACAGATAAAACACCTCAGTAAACAGACAATCATCTTTTCCCTCTCTTTCTGTACTTCCATTAGCACTGTAATCTTGCTTTAGAGCCTGCTCTGCCAGACCACCAGCTTTCATCCCTCTCAAGGCACTGAGCAAACGATCACGCCACTGCATAAACCAAAAAATCCAGTGCCTAATAAGTCCGCTTAAGAAATACAAGTCAAAAAGGTACCGTAATCAACTTATGACTGAGCAATTCTTCATGTTAACAGAGAGATTATGTAGGGTAAACAGTGACTATAGTGCCCTATTAATTCTGCTGACCCATTCACCAGTTCCAAGATATCGCCCACTACCCATTCAACTTTTAACAACCCTAGAGAATTTAGCCAGATTACATTGAAGAGACATGGTAAAATAAACATCTATTAGAGAAGTGAATTTGATGTCAAAAACATCAAAGGAGCATAACAAGTCCAAAACAGAGTCTGTTTAGAATTAAACAAATACCGGTGCGGCACTTGGGTGTGTACATTTCAAGCAAGAGAGGAAGGCGTTTTTCAAGGCAAGATTTGCCCCATAAACTTTCACCCCTTTGATAACAAAGCTTGGAGGTTCTAGACCAAGTAGAACTGGTAAAATGCGTCCATAATATGCAGGTCTTTTCTTTGCAATTGCTGAAAGACTGGGAAAAAAAAAATTAAAACAAATCAAACTAAAATCACAGTAACCAGGAGATAGCTGATAGGATAGACATATATACAGATATACTAACCAAACTATAAATATAAACAAAAAGCAGATTACTAGCGACAGAAGCACAATCGTAAACAAAAGTTAATCTTGACAAAGAAAAAAAAATTTTCAATTGGTTTCTAAAAACTATGTTCAAGGACACTACACTACCACACCACTATTACTTTTTTCCAAACAAGGCCTGGTAACCACGGATGTTCAACAGATGGAAAATGCTTGAAATGAATCAAAAATGCCATTGCTTTTATAATATTAACTCTTTTGAAGAATAAGCAAACAGATAGCATACCTATTAACAAGTACAACAACCATTGAGCTGCTAAGAGATTTTACTGCAGGGAATCTAAGCTGATCAAGCAACAACCCCAACATTTTGCTAGCTTCAATTGACAAATCTCCAACTTTGAGTACGGGATGGCCCCCACGAAGCCAAGATATATTAAATTCTACAGAGGTTCCTATAAAATGGACAGAACATAACATATAAGAAATACTAAATGCTAGTAAAATAAATTAGTCTCTCTTTCAATCATGCTAAGCCCAAAGGAAAAGTCAAAAGGCACTACCATCATGAGGGGGCTCTAAGGAGCCATTAGGGTCAGGAGTGTTAAGAATAATGACTGCTTCAACAAACTTCAGTGCCAGCAACCTTATTCCACCACTTCCTGGCTGATCAACAGATTACAAATAATCAGAGCAAGTACAAAATACAATTTTATGAAACAAGACTAATCATTTCCCACCTGGAAAGCTATTGAGTATATCTTTTCCTTGAACTTTAGCATCGATGACCATGCTAATTCAAGATCATTTTCCAATTCACTGGTGTGGAGGCCCTAAAAGGTAAAGAGGAAATAATTAATGATCATAATAAGACCAAAGGAAAGAAAACAACAGAAAGAACAATATTAAAAGAGCTAGCATTAAGTTTTTAGAGGTTGGCATTGGACTCAAATGATGATCTCAAACCTTACATTCTAAAGAAAACTAATTTTCAACAGCTAATGAAGACAAGATTTTTTCAGTTCTCCTTCAAGTAGTCACAATTCGGAAAATTAGTAGAATAAGATTCCCACACTCTTTAGTTGAAATCTAAATCAATCTAACATATTTGAAATTATAGAGTTGCAAATAGACCAACCTGAATTGCAACTTTTTCAAGGGTAGAACGAAATAAATCGATTCCAGAAGCAATAGCTTGACGAGCAACAGCAGGTGTATCGTCGTCCAAAACCTTCATTAATACAGGTACAATCTCAGGTACAAATTCAATGTGATTCACCCCAATCTCACCAACAATCCTACATTCAAATGAGAACGAAAGACCAAAAAAAATAAAAAAATCACCTCAGGAAAGTCGCTAAAATAAACAATAATATTAAACAACAAATCATCAACCTAATTTGAAGAATGCAAGAGAGACCAGGTAGCTTTTACCAAAATAAACTTGAAATATCAAAGAAGAATGGAAAAGAAGAAAACTTACTCGGTGACTAGCTTCCGAACCGGAGCGAAGCCGTCGGAGAGGAGGTCGAAGGACTCAGGGAGGAACTGAGAAAGCGAAACAGAATCTTCACCTGACAAATCCAGCTTCAATTGACGCAGGCTATCGAGTTTTGAAGGTATGTCCCTGGCTAACCTCACCGAGTTAGCCAGACCGGCGAGCTTCTCCGTCGATCTGGAGCTCATTCTCCCTACCATCTACCCGCCGAATTTCAAACTTCACTTCCTGTGAGAGATCGCAAGAGCAATTTTCATTTACCCAAAAAAAAAAAATCCCAATTTCCGTTCGTTGCCGCCCCAACAAGATGAATATCGATTCCGTATTCCGTATTCCGTACCTAGGGTTAAAACGTAAAATTGTCCGCCACTGTCCTTTTATTTTTAGGGTTAAAATTGGAAATTCATTGCCTGTTTTCATAACCGCCTGAAGACAAAGAAGAAAGGATAAGCTTATTTCCGTGTCCGAGATAAAGAAGGGGAGAAGAGATGGCCATCCGACTGAACCGCCTCCAGCCACCGCGACTGAATCACGAGAAACAGCTTCCGCCACCGTTTTCCGCCGCGAGAACGAGATTATCGTTTCGGATTAACTCAGCGTTGACTTCTAGCAATGCTCAGAAGCTAATCCAGTCCGGTGCGGTCCGGCCGATACTGCCTAAGGATGCAACCACGACCATGAATTCCGAGGGTTTCGTTCTTCTGGACATCAGGCCGGAGTGGGAGAGAGAAAAGGCTCATGTCAAAGGATCGCTGCATGTGCCGCTCTTTGTGAAGGACTTGGATAATAGTCCGATTACCCTTTTGAAAAAGTGGGTGCATTTTGGCTACATTGGCCTGTGGACGGGCCAAAACTTCACCATGATCAATCCTGAATTCCTGAAACAGGTGGAGGCAGCCGTTCCCGATAAGGAGACGAAGTTACTGGTGGCTTGTGGTGAAGGGCTGAGGTGAGATTTTTATGCAGGCTTGTGAACTTAATTCATTAGCAGGAAATCAATTAGTTTGTTTGTATAATGTTTACCATTGAGAAATTTTATTGTTCAGGTCGATGATGGCAGCTTCAAAGTTACACACCGGTGGGTATAAGAAGTTGGGGTGGTTGGCGGGAGGTTTCAACCGTGCCGGAGATGATGATTTTCCGGCCGTTGAAGGGCCTGAAAAGCTACAGTATGCTACAATAGGGGGCTTCTCATACTACTTACTTCAGTTGCTTATCCTCTTAAAAGTAGTGGGTAAGAGCAATTGATTAGCAAAGATCTTTCTGTTCAAGTTTTTGCCATGGAAACGAATCAGCAAGAATTGGAACTGGAAACGTCATTTCGACTTATTTGGAAATGCAAAATGATAGATGTATTTTAAATTAATGCATTTTCCTCTAGATTCCTGTTCCCAAAGACTATTATCAACCATAACCAGGAGAAAGTATTTTACTGCAACCATTGCACATCATCACAAATTCTTCCGTGCACCTGTAACATGACAGGTTCTAAGTGACATGGCAGTTGCAATTTTTGACAAGTTCTGATGTAAAACCTGGAACTCCTGATGTATCAAGGACGTTTTCATTTATTGGCAATATCGTTGAAGTGTTATCCCATTGCACTGAATAATTTTTCCTTAATCGGATGTTCTCCCTGCATAAGTGCTGATGCTATATGACACTTAGCAGAATTAGACCGCTTCACCAGGAATGTATTGCTTGAAATGATTTATCAAATCCCATAAATCATAAATTTTGTGTACAGTTAACGAACTTCATATCAAATTGGAGAAAGCAGTAATAACAATATAAAAGGGGCTTCACAACATCACATGACCTGAAGACATAAATTACACAGAACTAACATATGTTGTTACAACCCCTATGAGAGGGTGTTTCAATGTATAAGAGCTTGACTCAAACCTTGGTATGTGTTCAAAATGATTTGGAATGAATGACTGTTTTATAGCTCAGCGTCAAATATATGAAAAAAATAAAAATAATAAATAAATAAAATATGTTGTTACTTTTTTTTTTTTTTATGAGTAAGCTCAAGGCCACCAAACAATGCAAAATTGTTATAATCAGGATTCGATGGAGAGCCTCCTCTAAATTCCATAAGACAGAACTAACATATGGTCATTATATGATTGACATATGATCCTCTACCATACTTGATAGATTGACTACAAGTTCCAAGTTGCTGTGGTTCTCGCAATCAATATCCCAGCACAGCTTTATTAGCTGGTGGCAATACCTGATGGATTGACTGCAAGAGTCAAGCAGAAGAAATGCTCCCCTACTCCCCTAACTACATGCATGTTCGACAATTCTGAATCAGAAATGAGTGTACACCTCTTTTTCAAAAGCAGTTTAACAAAACAAGTTTGGCACAAACTGTGTGAGTTGGCAGAGATACCTTTTATTGATTCTTGGCTGGGATTTTTTAGCATGAATGGGAAACAAAGTTTAGGAGGAAATTGTTGTATATCCTTCTCACAAAGCTGGCATGGTCTACTGCAATCTCCCATGTGTGGAGGGAGAGAAACAGGGAGTACATCAGCAAATATACCAAACCATGACGATGCTTAATTAACCATGATATCTTCCCCTTTATCGATGGCTGGTGCTGCAAAATGGGGGATATAAGATTGTGTAGTATAAATTCGTTGATCAGACTTTTTAGTGCTTGTATAGTTTGTTGATTGTAGCAGCACATTGCTGCTTTTTCTGTACATAACAGTTACTGGATAAATGAATTTTCATATTTTCTCCATATATATATATATATATATATTAATACAGACATGAGTTGATGTTAGCAATAGAATCACTAAGAAACAATATTGTTTCAGACAGCAGTTAAAGGCACAATCATTTTTTAACAAAAAGCTGCACTTATGTTCATATAGAGCTCAAACTTCAGAAAAATCAACTTTCTAGTCTCTACAAGCTGTTATGGAAGATTTAACATAAGCAACAGCTTTAAATAAGTAAAATCATCCACATGACAGGAAAGGTGAATCCTCTGAATGATTAACAGTGTGTTTGCCACGATTTTGCAGCTCTCAAAGATCATATTTTTCAACTTCAAAAGCACTAGAATAAAGTTTCATCCATCACATGAAGAGCATACCCTGCCGGATCTCCAGAAAATAACGTGTCACTAGAAGAAGTTTACTGATTACATAAAGCAACCGATTCAAACTACAATCAACAGCGTAGCTTGGGAACAGCCTGACTGCTAAATTAATAAATAAATAAATAAATAGCATGCCCTCTCTTAAAGAGGACTCATCGAATCAAGTGCAGGAAAAAAATTTGTGTAGATAAGTAAATACAAATCATCAAATAAAAAGAGGTGCTTTCTATTATTAGCTGCAATATACCACATGTCCTTGCATCATCAATTCAACATGCATAACATCCAGTAAGTTTCCAGCAACCAAAATAAAAAAACAGAGTAACCAAGCAACATTTCAGGGAAATAAGTTTGTGTAATCCAAGGACAAGTCCATCACAGACACTAAAACAGCAGGAAACATCAACTAAGCTTCAAAAACTCCACATCCACTACAATCAATGGTGATTCCACTATTCGGACCGACTTGCGAACCTCTCCACCTTCTCGTCTTTCAAATTGAGCCCCACCATAGCCTCACCGAGCCCGCAACTCACCTCTGCTAGCACATCAGGGTCACTATAATGGGTCACAGCCTGCACTATAGCCCGGGCGCGCTTAGCAGGGTCCCCGCTCTTGAACACCCCTGAACCCACGAACACCCCATCGCAGCCTAGCTGCATCATAAGCGCAGCGTCAGCAGGGGTAGCCACCCCTCCCGCCGCAAAGTGCACCACAGGCAGCCTTCCCAACTGTTTGGTCTGCATGACCAAATCATAAGGCGCCGCAATCCTCTTGGCAAAGCTGAAAACTTCATCATCATCCATGTTTCTCAGAACCCGGATATCCCCCATCACGGACCGCACGTGCCTCACAGCCTCAATAATGTTTCCAGTGCCAGCTTCTCCCTTTGTTCTGATCATGGCAGCTCCCTCCCGAATTCGGCGGAGAGCCTCCCCTAAATTCCGGCAACCACAGACAAAAGGGATTCTGAAATTATGCTTGTTGATATGATTCTCCTCGTCGGCGGGAGTGAGCACCTCACTCTCATCGACATAATCTATGCCAATGGCTTCCAGGATCTGGGCCTCGACGAAATGACCAATACGGGCCTTGGCCATGACAGGGATGGTGACCGCCTGCTTGATTTCCTTAATCAATTGGGGGTCGCTCATGCGCGCGACACCTCCTTGGGCCCGGATGTCGGCGGGGACACGCTCGAGTGCCATGACGGCGCAGGCACCGGCTTCCTCAGCGATGCGGGCCTGCTCAGGGGTGACAACGTCCATAATGACCCCACCCCGGAGCATCTGCGCCAGACCTACCTTGACCGAGAAAGGAGATTTGTGGCTCTCCGTGATTGTTCCGTTTCCGTACACCGCGACCACTCCGGTTCCGGCCATTATCGAAAATCTAGAGAAAAGGGAAGAGGGAACCAATTAAGGAACAAGAAATGTTTTCTGGAAAGTGAGGAAGCATAGAAGGTGGCGAAATAGAGGGTTTAAAAAGAGATGCATTATGGGGCCAGGACTTTTGTGACACACATGAACCCACACCTTACGATTTATTTTTGCACCTTGATGATGATGATGGGCTCTGATGATTAGGAGGCCACGCAACCGGAAAGTCGCATGCGGAGCCTCCGCTTCGGTTGATTTGTTTTGCTGACGTGGGCAAACCATGTTCCATTCATCTGTACAATTGTAGTGATGATGATGATGATGATGATGATGATATGTATCAATTAATTACCTTCCGTTAAATGGTCCCATCCCAAATCTGAATTTAATTGATAAAGAGTTTAACTTTTACGAGTGATTTGAAAAAATCTCTCGTCTCTCATAATTTTTTATGTTTTAAAAATAATAATTATCTTTAAATAAATAAAAAATATAAAAATTAAAACATTTTGGTATCATGACACACATCACAACTCAAATAAGTAGGTTATTGATTGATACTCACAAAATCAATATTTCGAATATCAAGATATTTTGATTTTTTCCTTAAATAAATTTGGTAGAGATTTTTTTTAATGGTTCTATGTAACATAAACCTTAAGATATAGATTAAGTTTTATTAAATATAGAATTTATAATTAGTTTTATAGAGTGTTTTTTTAATGGTTCTATCTAACATAAACCTTAAGATATAGATTAAGTTTTATTAAATATAGAATTTATAATTAGTTTTATATAAATTTTTATATTAAATTTATATTTTTTTAGATTATTGAATATAAATATTATATTGTATTTTAATTTTACATTTTACATTTTATTTTAATTGAGTTTGGTATAAAAATTTATATAAAATTAATTAAAATATTATATTTGATGAAATTTAA